CCCCCCCCCCCCCCCCCCCCCCCCCCCCCCCCCCCCCCCCGGACCTGTAGGCTTAAGATATGAGACCCGGAAAGGACATGTTTTGACAAGAGCATACAAAGGAGTGAAAAAGTAAAACTTAGAAATTTGAAACTTTCAACATCAAGTCTTCAACAGAAGTTATTGTCTCTACATGTATGCACATCTAAATGTACATCTATAAAAGATTAGTCAGTACCCTTAATGCATTCAGTGCTTTCTATTGTAATGATAATTACTTTAATAATTAACAATGAGTGATTTGACATATATCAGTTTAGAGCAGTGGTTCTTAACCTGTGGCATGAGATCCTTTTGGAGGGTGTGAAAGACTCTTTCATAGGGATCACCTAAGACCATCAGAAAGCAGTTACATTTATAATAGCAGCAAAATTACAGTTAGGAAGTAGCAACAAAATTATTTTTTAGTTGGAGATCACAACAGGAGGTATTGAATTAAAGGGTTGTAGCATCAGGAGGGCTGAGAACCACTTGTTTAGAGGAAAAGTGATAATAGAGGCTAGTAAAGGAGGTTTAGGAAAAATTACAGGGAGCTGTGTTTAAATGGAGTCATACAGTTGAACCGTTGTAAGTAGGTGGGGGAGAAAGGCAGGGCTTGTAAAGCGGTGTATGTGTTAGCATTAAAGTGCTTGTATTCCCAAGAATACATTGTTTGATCACGAAGTTATATTTTAGTTTTGTTTTATTGGTCTAGTTTGAAAGATGTTAGAAGGATCATCTCCTTGAAGTACATCTTTTAGCTTTCAGAATATTGTTGAGGATGCTGTACAACAGTATCTTGTTTAGATACAATGTTATCTTGTAAGTTATACAATGTGCATCTTGTAAGTGCATCCCTAGTAAAACCTTCCTCTAAGTAGCTTGTTTTCTATGGGTAATCCTTTCCATTCGGCAGCTGGTTTTATTTTTTTTCCTCTGTTGACAGAGTCCAGAACTCAATTTAAGTTTTATTTTAAAATATGTATAAAGTGGAGTTGAAGCTGTAGCTCAGTTGGTAGACTGCTTGCCCTAGTATGTCTGAGGTTTTGCACTTGATCTCCAACACCACATATCATGAGATATGGTGGGGAGTACATGCTGTCCTCAGCTGTGTAGCAGATTTGAGGCCAGCTGGGATACATGGGACCTTGCCTGTCTTAAGAAAAAGTGTATATAGTATTTTTAATGTATGAATTTATGTTCTCCCCTCCTTTTCATTTTTGTCTTCTATCACTCCATTGACAACTCACTATGAAAGCTTATATTGCATATATATTTTTGCTATGTCAAATACATTTTCAGATAATCAATTAGATACAGATAAATGAATGCATGTAACTAAGGTCAAGTATTTAATTTAAGAATCTTAATAAAAGTCATGCCTTAATCATTTTAGGACCGGAAAGGAAGGCCAACCCAGAGAATACTACACGTTGGATTCTATCTTATTTCTTCTTAATAATGTACACCTTTCCCATCCTGTTTATGTCCGGCGTGCAGCTGTAAGTAGAAGTCATTTTAAAACTCCATTGATCAAACAGTTACAGATGACTTCACCCATGGGTTTCAGATGTGTGAAGTTGTCGGGGAGAGTGAAAATTAACCTGCTATGTGATTTATTCTGATTTTTTTAGTTGGCAATTCATTATTCATGTAAAATATATGTAATGTTTATGACAGAACTTTTAAAAGTACTTAAATTGATGTTTCAAAATATACATGGAAGAACTCTGATAATTCAGAACTATAGTTTAATTTCAAGAAAACTTAGTATAAAAATAATATGAATTTAGTCTAAAGTATGAAAATCTCAATAAGCACAACAGAAACAGATATTTATTTAGAATTTTGAACAAAACAGTTCTTTTTGTATTTTATTGACAAATGTATTGTTTTTTTAGTTTTATCTGCTTTCTCGTATTTGAAAATTTATTGTTGAGAGGAAATTATTAGGAACATGTAAAAATATCTCAGTTCACAGAGATTGTTACTATGAGGTTCTTCCACTGGTAAGGGACTTTTAAAAACTGCTAAGTAGGATTCTGAGTTATTTGAATTAGAAGTTGCAAATTGCCGTAAATTTGCAAATAAGATGGTTCCCCAGATACTTTCCTTGGGTATTGGGAGGACACAGGTCTCATGTAGCCTGGGCTGGCCTCCAGCAACTGTGTAAATGAGGACGACCTTGAACTTGTGATTCTCTTGTCTCTATCCTTAAGTGCTGGGATTAGATGTGTCTGCAGTCATGTCCTGTTAATATGGTGTTGGGCACTGAACCCAGGACTTCATGCTTGCTAAGCAAGTATTCTTCTGTGAGACACTGCAGCCCTTTAGCTTTTATTAAAAGTAGTCCTTATCAGATTCCTTTCTAGGATCAGACATAGAATTATTTTTGAGATATTGATATACTCAAACATCTAGTCTAAAAGTTGTTTTAACTTTACTGCATTGTATTAATTTGAAAGTGGTACTTTTATTTTTTAATATTCTTAAAACAAACTCCTTGTAAAATCATCCTTGTGCCTCCATCACTAGAGCTACTTTTTGACTGCCTAACACTACTGCTGGATTGCATTATGTTGTGTGAGATTTACTCTTACAACTGTTCCTTCAAAGTAGAGATAGTTGAGGTTTTTGAATAGTAACTTACTATTTGGACCGGTTGAGAGAGTGCCTCATCATTTATTTTGCTTTAGTAGGACTGTTTTTCTGAGTAAGAAACAGAGTCAGTGTTACATAAAAATCTTAAAGTTGGTAAGTAGTAGGGAAAATTAATAATTGGCTATTACATTATTTATTAGATCCTTAAAAGCCTAATAAAGCAATAATTAGAATTGTTTGTTAAATAATTTAAGTACTTAGAGATTTAAACATTACACACACACACACACACACACACACACACACACAGAGTTTTGTTTTGCAAGACAGAGTTTGTCTGTGAAGCCCTGGCTGTCCTGGAATTTACTCTGTAGACCAAGATGCCTCCAATTCAGAGATCCACCTGCCTCTGCCTCCCTATTGCTGGGATTAAAGGTCTGCCTAGCAAGACTATTCCTATGAGTGGTTATAGTTCATAACTAGCAGTTACCATTGTTACTGTGGACTCTAGGACTTACATTTATAGTCATATAAGACATAACCTTTGTTTTACTTAAACATTTTCTAAATGACATGGGGCAGAGATCTAAAATTCTGTAGCTTCACAGATTAGAGGTTGCTTTTTAAATTGCCACACTCCTTGCTTTATGTTGCGTGGTTTCTTCCTGGAAAGGTGTTCTGATCCTGGGGCCTTTTAGTGAGACCTGTGGCTTCTCAGGTGGCTCGTAATGTTGGTGTAAAGCACACTTTAAATGGTTCTGAAATATATGATCAGGCTTTGAGATAAGAATTTAAAGAATATCAATTGAAGCAGGGTGCTGATAGTGCATACCTTTAATCTCAGTACTTGGGAGGCAGAGGCAGGTGGAGCTTTGTGAGATCAAAGCCTGTCTCGTCTCCACAGTGAGTTCCAGGTTAGCTGTGTCTACATAGAGAAACCCTGTCTTGAAAAACAACAAAAAAAAGAACATTAATTCAGGTATGTGTAATATTTCAGGTATGCTGGTTAAAAAATAACAAGAAAAGAAATACTTGAAGGTTTTCAACTTGTGTGTGTGTGTGTGTGTGTGTGTATATATACAAATTTGTATAAGAAATATATATATTTCTTATATAAATAAAGTTTTTCCATATATAAGTTTAAGAAAAAATAAGTGATTTATTTTTTCAGCTAAGTCAGAAAAATGTATTTGCAAATAATGGGTGGAGTGACACAGTGGTCATTGTGAGGTAATAAGCTAGTGGTACTAAGGGTTCTCATCAGTTTAATGTTGATAATAGTTGACAAAGGTTTTAATCTATGTAATCCCTGGGGAACCAGTTTTTCTTTCATTCCATTGTTTACATTAGAAAAATGATAAGGAAAATTGTGGCAGTGGCAAAAATCATTGGCCCAAAGGTGACTTGATGCCTGCAGTATACATTTTATTTGTTTTAATCATCTTTTAAAAAGATTTGCTATTTTTTACTTACGTGTCTCTGTGTGTCTCTAAGTACACATGACTGACTGCAGGTACCACAGAAGGCCAGAGACATTTAACCCCTTTCACGAACTGTATTTACAGGTGGTTGTGCGCCATCTGTAACTGGGAATGCTGGGAGTCAAACTTTGGTCTTCTATAAGAGCAGCAAGTGCTCTAATTGCTGCGTCATCTCCACAGCCCCAATTATAATCTTTTACAAGTGATGATTTGTAGGTGGAGTAAAGAAAAACCACTCATTCTTCTAAGTTTATGCTCTCACACAAGAATTTTTCAAATCTCTTTTTCTCTCTGCTATTTGAATTTATATACACTCAAGGGAAAAAAAGAAATGTCGGTTAAATATTACAGTTAACATTTTTTTATAGTTTATTTTTCTTGATCTTATTGATTCTCAAAATATATACTTACGTATTTATGTAGTTCAGTGGGAAGAATTTTAGTTGAATAGTTAATGAGGTTTGGTCTGTGTGGTGGAAAAGCACTACAGATACTGTATAAAGTGAGACAATATTGGTACTACTGAAAAGATGTGATCTTATAAGTGCTAAGAGAACAGTGAAGCCAAGGGTTGAGAGCCTGTGGTACTTGGTAAAAAGATAAAAGTTATTACTTACTTTCAAACAACTGTCTTGGATATATCTTTATGGAATTTCAAAAGTAAGATACTGAAAATTAACATTTGAGAAATTTTCTAAATTTTTAGATGCTTTAAAGCTTTTAAAAATAAATACGACTTTAAATACATGTTACCAAAGTATGTTAGATTCAGAGATTACATGGTATTTTATCAAGTTTCATAGTTGCTTCTATTTAATATCTAATTTAAAATTTTGGCTTCAGACTGAAAATATTCCTGTGGTTAGAAGACCTGACCGAAAAGATCTACTTGGATATCTCAATGGGGAGGCATGTGAGTACTAAACTTGCTCTCACTCTTAAATATTGAAGTATTGTTTTTTTTTTTTTTTTAAAGCTTTCCTATCAAAATAATTGTAGTGGGAAATTTTGTATTCCATTAAATACATTACCAGAATCTCTGTCTGTGTGCTTCTCCCTGAAGTTGCACAAACTTGTCTCTTTTTAGGTTGCCACTCCCCCCTCATGTGAGTGTTCTTTTTATGCTGTCAGAGACTTGCCTTTGTACATTACTATTTCTGTCTTGCTTTACTGTTTTCTCCATCTCAGTCATTACATTTTAGAAGAAATGTAGAAGAGATGTATGCTTTAACAATTATTGTTGAGTCCACATTTCTATCACTGTTTCCTTTTTATTACTGTAAGAAGGAAGAGTTGACAATCATTGCTTATTTGTTACCTCTTTCTTGAAGTTCCTCTGCCTAGCTTTCATCCTCACAGTCTCAGTAAAGTCAGAGAGATTTGAGAATTACCACATTTTTTTGTTTCCTTTACCCACTTTACCTATGAACATTTGATAGTGTTAGATACTTTACCTATGAACATTTGATAGTGTTGGACACTCGCTTCTTTAAAGCCCTTCACTTGTGACATTTGGGACACCAGCCTTTGGTTTTCTTTCCATTTGTTCATCTTTCTATATATTTCTTGTCATGTCTATGCCTGTTGCCTTAGGGTTTCTACTGCTGTGATGAGACACCATAACCATGACCAAAATCAATTTGGGAATGAAAGGATTTATTTCATCCTATAGCTCATAGTCCATCATCTAGGGAAGTCAGAGCCAGAACTTGAGGCAGGAACTGATGCAGAGGCTGTGGAAGAGTGCTGCTTATTGGCTTGTTCCTCATTGCTTGCTCAGCCTGCTTTCTTATGGCCTCCAGGACCACCTTGGTGCCCAGGGTTGGTGCCCAGGGTTGTTACCACCTGCATTGACCTCGGCCCTCCCACATCAGTCGCCAACGTAGAAAATGCACTACACACTTTACCTACAGATAATCTTACTGAAACATTTTCTCAACTGAGGGTTTCCCTTTCCTAATAACTTGTGCCAAGTTGACATAAAACTAGCCAGGACACTTCTTATGGCTTGAGTTTTCTTTTTCTCTTGAGACTCTAAAAATCTCTAGGTGACATCTTCCAAGTTTTATGCTGTATATATCCTGATCTGTTCGCGTTGCTGAATTCCAAATATAGTTGGCCTTTGAGCAGTTTGGATTTAATAAGTACAGGTCCACTTATGTGGTGTGGATTTTGTTTTGGTTTTTAGATTTGTGCCAGTCTTAAAAAACATTAGCCATCACAAAGAAATTATGAAAAAAGATGTGTTGTGTTGTATACTAGCTTAAACAAAAAGAAGGTATTTCATAAATGTGTAAATGATTTTTATTCATTTATAATACAAAAGTTTATTAGACATAGTTAAAACTTACCAGAATTTAGGCACAGGGGTCTATTTCTGTTATATGATACCATTCACTGTTGTGAGAAATGTAAACAAATATAAGATGCAGTATTAAGTCATAACTATAAAATCAAGGGTAGTATGTTAAAGGTTTATAGTCATTTGGTACAGTTGTAGTAAGCTCAGTCAGCATAGCTATCTACTAAACTGCCACGTGATGTAATCTTATAATGCGATCACCTCTTTAGATTATTACATATTATTGTACGAAGTGATTTCTGGCAGTTCTTAGATATTTTTTCACCATATAACATGCGTACAGTATTTTAAAATATGGGTTATTGTCGATTATATTATTAAGTAATTTCAGGTAAACAACAGTTTTTTTTTTGAACAGTTTTTTTGAGAAGTCAAATTTATGCGTGAGTTTTCAAGGTAATGAGAACATCAGTGCCCCAACCCTCATATTTAAGTGTTAGCTGCATTTTTTCTCCTACTGACTCTTCTTCATATTTATTAAATTTACTGTTGTCCTCTTCCTTTAAATGTTTTACAGGCATCTGAAGTTTAACATGTTCAAAATAGAGTGCCTAATTTACTTCTTTCCATCTCCACCCACATAAAACAAAACTGAGTCTGTTGTCATCTTAGGAGTGGTGGTACCTTACATAACCATGCAGTGATTTAGTCCTTAAATCCTGGTAGGAAATCGTTTTCTGACATATCTGTAACATTTGTAAGTCCTTTCTTCTGCCTTGAAAACCATGGCAATGTTTCCTCTACTGCAACCCTGACTCATTTGTCTTCTAAAACCTTCTTACATAGTCCTACTCTTTATTTTCTACAACTTATTCTGTATCTAACAAGATTTATTTTTGAAAAGTATTTAAATTTAATTGCGTCATTTACCTACTCAAGGCTCTTTGTGGTTTCTACAACACTTTTTGTGAGGAAAAAGCTCATGTGTCTTGCCCTGCAGACTCCATGATTTTGTTTCTGCCTAAATCTCTCTGACGTCATCTTCCCTCAGTCTTTATCACACACAGCCGCCGGGTATTGATCTTGCAGTTGGTCTAGATAATCTCAGAGCCCCAACATTTGCAGTTCTCTCTTCAATCGTCTGTATTGTCATTAGGCTCTCATCTCCCATCAATGCTAAGATACTCTTCTGTCAGTGACTTTATCTCTGACCATTCTAAAATACAAAATGACTCATACCTTTCTTTATGTAATAAAATCCTATTTATTTTCCAAAAAAAAAAAAACAACAAAAACCAAAAAAAGACATACTTTTACCTGAGATTATATTTATTGCTTACTTGAATATGTCTGTGGTGTCTTTTGGAGAATGAACGTTATAGGAACATTTGTTTCAGTTGTTTTATTTATTACTCAATGAAGTTTAGAACAGTAGTGTATAGTAGATACTTAGCTGAATGAATGATTATTTTCTTATAGAACATACATAAGTTGATATTATAGAAATAAGCCTCATCTTCGGATGGAATTTATTACCAATAAACCAGTGATAACATTTTGTTACACATTCTATTGCTTATTTTTAAGCTACAATGTTGGTGTGTAGAGAATCTTGTGGATAATAGGGAGACCTCCAGGATTGTTTTCTTTTGATATTTTCTATTAGCAAATGTCTAACTCTTTATACTCCCACTCCCAATTGTATGTATGTGTGTATATGGTTGCATGTACCACAGCTTGAATGTTGAGGTCGGAGAATAACTTGGAGGAATCAGTTCTCTTCCACCTTTATGTAGCTTCCAGGAATCAAACTCAGATTGCTAGGTTTGTGTAGCAGGTGCTTTACTACTGGCCTTCCATGCTTATTCCTAAAATTACATTTGGGCACTGTGCAGATTGCAAAATCTTCTTACTTTTATATGAGGTAAACAAAGAATGAGGAGGAATACCTTTCCTGCAATTGTGATGGGAAGATTGAAAAAAGGCTTCTAATTTTTTTTTTGTCTGTTTTGATTCAAGGCATATTTAATTATTTGGAACATGAGAGTCATAATATACCTGTTTTATATTATATATATGTATATGTGTGTGTATATATACATATGCATATACATACACACACACACACATATATATATATATATATTTTTTTTTTAGGCTCACTCTTATTTTCTCTCCATTAAAAAGTGTGTTGAGGGTTGGAGAGATGGCTCAGTGGTTAAGAGCACTAACTGCTCTTCCATGGGTCCTGAGTTCAATTCCCAGCAACCACATGGTGGCTCACAACCATCTATAATGGGATCCAGTGCCCTCTTCTGGTGTGTCTGAAGGCAGCTACAGTGTACTCCTACAATAAATAAATCTTAAAAAAAAAAGAAAGAAAAAAAAGTTTTGAAAGGAGCGTAGGATTCTTCCGTTTTACTAAGTGTCTAAGATGCCTCTGGTAGATAGGATCACTTTGGGAGAGCCTCAGTGAGTTGTTTATCCACATCATTTCTTGTGTTTTTCCTAGGATAAATTTAGTTCTCAGATATATCATTTTGTTAATTTGTGAAACATGTTACTAGGTCAATGAAAAAGTTGAACAACTGTTAGTATCATGTTTGTAGGCATGTTATAATTAATAACACAGTTATTAACTGTTAACATGAGTTAAAAGCATGATCTCAAAAGTCTAGACAACTTTTTTTGAACAGTAGAACTAAGAATAATTTTAAATTTTATTTGGTGAAATTGCGTGTTGTAACTGTATGAGGAAAATAATGAGCAAAGACTAATCATTGTGGAGTGGAGAACTTACAGACCTAAGACTGAGAAAGTGAGTCAGTGTTAATAAAACGTCTTTGCTATGTTGGATGAGAAATACAGATGTGAGGCTGCCTAGCCTTATAGTGTGATGGCAGTGTATCTGACTTTAGAAATACACATACCAATTTAATACTGAAATGAAGACATGTTACATCAATGGCAGAAGGTGGAATTTTCAGTTAATATTTTGATAAAAATAAAACAAGTTCTGTGTCATTAAAAAAAGCCCTCTTAAGTTGGAAAATGTTTTAACTCTTGTATAAAAGAAAAAGGTCAGAAGTACTAGTTAACACATAAAGTGGGACCTTGGAAATAGATAGATGCACAAAGGGCTTAACAACTTGAATAGTTACAGAATTGACAGAAAAGGTAATCACTTGTATATATAATTATTGTATAATAATTATAAATTTAAAGGATAAAAAAATCAGGTCTTATGCGTTGCGGTTTGTCAATGAACCCTGGTGAGGTTGTCAAGAAGCATTTGGCATTGTTGACTGTGACACTTTATACCCTTCCCATCACAAACAACTTAGACACCCTACATTTGGAAGTGGCCTAGAGCTATATTTGAAAATGTAAAAAGTGGCAGAAGACTTAGAGTTGAACTGCCTACTCCTAGGGAAGCAGTCAAATGAGTTATAGTTATTCCATACAATAGGAATTACTACTGGAGTGGAAGGGGTGTCTGAGCTAATAATCTTTTGTAAATGGGAAACAAGTTTCAGAATATTGTGCATATTAGGCTGCCTTTGTGGAAAATAGTATAAATAAAATATAATTGTATTTCTTATATCTGTAGGATATTCAAGATAATAGCTACTTATATAGGGGAATAGGAACTTGGTAGAAGGGACCAGGTTCTCTCTCTGTCTCTATCTCTCTCTCTGTGTTCATATTTTTATTTTGAGGCATTCAAAAATAAAATAATTTGAAGGTTAGTTGGAAGTTTCCTACCAATTGTGAATAAGTACAATTTGCATGTTCTATGCTATGTGCATATTTAAGTATTTGGGGGAAGCATACTTTTTAAATGTGTTTGCTATACCAGAGTATAGTCTGAAATGGCCAATTAACGTCAGTAATTAGCATCTCAGTGGTTTGTAAACTAAAGTTTTAAAAATAGTTGTTCTTTCACAGACTTTCTAATTCTAATTCTGAGTAATCTTGTTAATAAAATTCTGTTATGGAGCTGCTTTTGAAACCATTTTACCTGGAGAAATTCTCCTATGGATAAAAGAAATAAAGCAAAGCTTGAGCACTTCCCTTAGAATAACACCCAAAATATATATGCTCACATACCGATTTGCTTATATGATTTTTCTTTTCCATTTTCAGCAACATCAGCAAGCATAGACAGGAGTGCCCCCCTGGAAATAGGTCTTCAGAGGTCTACTCAAGGTACACCTGTCAAATCATTATCTTGAACATTAAACAAAAATCCCTTCTATAAAGTACACACTTATTTATATTTATTTTTGTTGTAGTCAAAAGAGCTGCTGATGAAGTTTTAGCAGAAGCAAAGAAACCACGAATTGAGGTAATAAAACTCTGTTTAAAATAATTTGTTTTGTTATTGAAAGTGGAATTGTGTAGAATAAGAATTAATGGGCTGGGCAGTAGTGGCTCATCCCTTTAATCCCAGCACTCAGGGGTAAGCTGAGGCAGGTACATGTCTGTGAGTTCAGGGCTAGCCTGGTCTACAGAGCGAGTTCCAGGAAAGCCAGGGCTACACAGAAAAAATCCTGTTTTGAAAAACCAAAAAACAGAACCCAAAACAAAACCCAAAAGACAAAAACAAACCAAAAAGCGTTATAGTAATTCTAACAGCTTTTTTTTTTTTTCTGAAAAGAAATATAGATTAATAGGTAGCTTGCTTATGTTACTGTGTTAGCTCTCAGATCTAAGTTCTGTGATAAATATGCCAGTTTCATTTGCTTTGCTATTCTTTGTTTTATTGATGAATACCATGTCCTACATCTAGAGTGAGAAACTATTATCTGTGTTAAAGGATGTACTAAATTTTCTAGATTTTCAGGGTTCTGTAGTCTTGATTGCTGTACCCCCATCTTGCTGTTCTATTAATATTATGGGGAAGCCTTCATAAATCATACCTAAAAGGATAGATATTCTGACAAAACTACATGATAATGGAGGCCAGAACTGGTCTCGGGGCTTTTGTTTTGCCAACTTGGAGAGTAAGGTAGTATGGAGACATGCATTACTTTTCAGGGCTGTGAATGTGAAGTACTTACTAGTGCATCATTAAAATACTACTGACACAGGTTCTAGATATCTCATGTTTTAGTGGGTTAGAATAGTGTTCTGGTAACTCTTCCTTGTCACTGTGACAAAATACCTGAGGAAAATAGCTTTAAGAAAGGTTTGCTTTAGCTCATAGTTTTAGTCCACAGTTGCCTGGCCACACTGTTTTTGGGCCTGTTCAAGAAAGAATGTGGCTTAAAGGCATAGTGGATGGCTTGCTGAAGATAAGCATTTCAGAGCACAGCCTGAGCTTCTTTCAGGCTGGCTCCATTCCTACAGGTCCGTGGAATTCATCAGCTCATTAGAGGTGTAAGAATCCAGCTGCCTCTCAAAAGCCCATTAAATAGCAACCATCTATTTAATATCTGAGTCTTTTCAAGATATTTTTAGGTTCTAACTAAAACATTTACTTGAAATACAGAACAGGTAAGAAATGTAATTACCTTTAGAGTATCTATTGTATAGTGCTGGTAACTAATAACCTACATATTGTATTTTGAAAAACATTAAGGAAGAAGTGTTCTCAGTACAAAAAAGTGGCAATATGTAAAGTAATGACAATGTTAATTATCTAGATTGAGCTATGCCATAGAGTATGTGTATTTTAGAAGATAGTATTATTCATAATGTGTACTTTCGAACAATTAAAAAAATGCTGTTACCACTAGTTGGTCAACAATTATTATTAATTGGTCAATTATTATTACTATTATTAGTTGGTCAATTATTATGAGCAAGATATCCTTTGGAGTTTTAATTATATATAGAAATAGTAATGACTTATTAACAAGCTTCATATTATTTATATGCACAGGAAACCTCTGGATGTAGAGAATAATTTGTTAGGAATTTAAAATCTGGCAGTTTTATGAATCTGCATTAGTTTATAGTAAAGAAATATCAAGTATGTTGGTTGGCAGGTACATACAGTGGATTTAGTAATAATGTTATCGTTAAACAATGTAATTTTAGTAAGTATTTTTTTGAGATGAATTGGGAGCCTGGTACTTTTTAAGTCATGATAACTAACTCATTGTTTTGGATCTATAGAAGATACTATTTTAAATGTTTTAGGCGTATTAAGTAGTGTACTCTTTACTACCACCCTTTGACTTTGGGAGCCCTAGACTCAACAGCTGTGAGGTATAAGTGTAATTTATTCTCCCATAGTAATAGTCATCTCAGAAGCTTACTGCTAACCTAGGTGTAGTCCTGGAAGCTTCTAGCTGCTGTACAATCTAGTCTAGGCCTAGAATGTTTTCTGCCTCTTAAGATATACACGGCTGAGTAAGATCACCCTTTCTAGTTCTTTCTGAACTCTTTTGGCTGGTTTAACTCAGCTGTTCTGGTGCAAATTCCTCTCCAAGCTGACTGCTTGATTCAGTCTGGCTTCCCTAAGTTTCTGATTGAATTGCTTTGCCTGGCCTCATACTAACTTTGGCAATATGTTCTAAATTTCTGTCTCCTTCTCATTCTCTGGCTCGTTCTGTCTTTACTTGTGTCTAGCTTGTTCTCTCTTCAACCTGTCTCTGTATAACTCTCCTGGTAAAACTGCTTCTGAATTCCATGAACTGACTGAACTGAACTGACTAGAACTCAGATATCTGCATGCCTCTGTCTCCTGAGTGCTGGAATTAAAGGTGTGTACCACCACGCCTAGACCTAAGCTTTTCTTTACCTGAATCTTGCTGTATACCAGGCTTTCCTTGAATTTAGAGATCCACTTGCTTCCTTTTCCTGGGATTAAAGTTGTGTCTGTATTTCTGCCAGATCACAAAGACCTAGGTCTGTGGATGTGATCTTTTACTAGAGCAGCTATGTTCTGAATTAAGATTCCACAGCAAAGTGACTTGCTGAGGTTTGTACAACCAGAATTGAACCAAGACACTCTGGTTGCTGAGCTATTCTCCCCTACTGAGTATGAATTTTGTGGCAGGAAAACAAAATTTCCCTATTTCCTCATATGAAAGAAGACTCTGGCCACTGTTAAAACAGTGAGTGCATTTAGTGCCATCATTTACTTGGACATATGAAAATATCACAATGTAATAATTTAAAAAAAAATTCAACACCCAAGAAAAGTTAAATACTAAAGCTACCAGTAACTTAAAACATCAGCGGGAAAGAGGAAAAAGAAAACATGAGGTTAGGGTTTCTGATTTGATGAAAATTTAGGTTGTACTTTTAAAATTACTAATTTCTTGAGGACCTTGACCATCGTGGATTATAACTTTCTTACAAATGGTAAAAATGAAAATGCATGCTAAAATATCTTTGCATTTATTTCAGCTGATGTGTCTGATTTAACATTTTTACATGGTAGAAAACTAATAGGGCATGAATTGTAACCTAGTATTTTTTCTCTTTTGAAGTCTTAAGTATGCTAGTGTATATAGTTTCATATACTCTTATTTATTAACCTTGAGTTTACTCCTTAGCTATTTGTTGAATATAGACCTTGACCTAAATAGGTGTCACTGAATTGGATTTTTTCTTAATTAGTCGTATGCTTTTCAAATTAAATTTCACTTGGCTTTCTAAGTTAAATATTTCTCAGGTTGACCTTAAGCAACAAATTCTTTTTAAACTCTTGATGCTTGTCTGCTGGGATTATAGGCATGAGCCACACATCCTTGTCAGATACGATTTTGAAACAGTCTATTGGGAACTTTATAGGAAAATTTTTATGTTCCAAGGAACTTGCTTTGACAGCTATTAACTTTTTGCTTCTAGTGTTTTGACTTCTTATTTGGTAGATTTGAGGATCTGTGGCATCAGATTGAAAAAAAAAAATTGACATCCAAAATGAAAAAAATTAACTTAGAAGACTTCCTTTAACAGTTAGGTATTTTTAAATCAGGAATGGATCTTTAGGGGCTGGTGAGATGGCTCAGCTGTTAGTATTTGTTCTAGCAGAAAACCTAGGTTCAGTTCTCAGTACCCACTAGTACTTCACAACCATCTATAACTCCAGCTCCTATGTAAACACCAGGCATGCATGCGGTACACGTACATTCTGTAGGTAAAATTCTCAGTACACATAAATCTAAAAAACATTTTTTAGAAGTATGAATTACACACACACACACATACACATACAAAAACATTTTTTTATATGAAAATAGTAGTGGTTGGGAGAGCACACAGAAATAGGTGTCTGGGCACTACATTGTAAACTTACAGATGATTTTTCAGTAATTTTTTTTAAGCTTTTTGATGATGCAAAAGCAATACATACATATTTAGAAGAATTATTTTACTTTCAGCACAATATTCAAAAATAAGTAATATAAGATGTCCAACACTTTAAAATAAAACAGGCTTTGTATTATATAGAGGCTAGTGTATATGTTCAAGTAAACAACACTAAGCCACAATATTTAGTAGGTAAATGTGTAAAATACATTTTTGGCTTGTGTTTTAAATTTGCTGTGATATTTTAATTTGAGTTCCCGTTACTGTAATGAAACACCATAACCAAAAGCAGTTGGGGGGGAGAGGATCTATTTGACTTCCACATCCATTGTCCATCACTGAGAGAAGTCAGGGCAGGAACTCAATCAGGACAGTAACCTGGAGTCAGGAGGGGTGATCTATAGGCCTATAGGCCAGTCTTATGAAGGAATTTTCTCATTTAGGGTTCTCTCCTCTCAGATGACTCAAGCCAGTGTCAAGTTGATGTAAAAGTAGCTAGCACATGTGGTTTATTAGAACTTAGCCCTATTGTAAGTCAAGGAACATCAGAAATCCATTCCATACTTAATGATCCAAAGTACACTTGTCTCTGTGTAAGTAAAAGGTGACTTAAGTACAATATTACATGGAACTGTACTGTAGTAATTTTGGTAAGAAGTTTTATGTAGTGATTTCCCTGTGTAAGGTAAGTAAAACGTAAAATGTTACTAATCACTGATTATTTTTAGGATGAAGAGTGTGTGCGCCTTGATAAAGAGAGATTGGCAGCTCGTTTGGAAGGCCATAAAGAAGGGATTGTGCAGACCGAACAGATTAGGTAAGAGTTTCTTAGGCAGTATAGATTTTATGTAAAGATATGTAGAAAATGAGATGTTTTAGATACAATTTACAATTTACGTTTGCATCTTTATTCATTGTATGGCCCTGTTCCCTAAGTTTAGAAGAATGCAGTTGTCCCTTGGAATTTATTGGGATTAGTTTTAGGATCTCTCCACAGATTATGAATACCCAGAGGAACTCAAGTCCCTCAGGTAAAATGACATGGTATTTGCTTATAACCTATAGTATAAGAATCTACCCTAGATTACTTCTATTTTAGACTTTCCATCAGTATGTCATATATGAGATGACAATATGAGAACAGTCGTAGAAGAGAATATTTATTTTGCATTATTTTTAGTTTAGACGGACATAGTTCCACTCTCAGACTCGTGTGGTAAGGCAGAGTATGTAGGAGGGACCATTGTCATTCACCTCAAACAGCATGTAGGAGACAAGTGGCGGGTGGGGAGCGGGGGATGGGCTTTGTTTATAGAAACTAGGACCAGAGAATGGGTAGCCTCAAGGACTTAATCTCAGAAAACCACTTCTTTGCTAAGTACAACCTCCTAAAATATTCAGAAACTTCCAAAATAGCATCATCAGTTGGGGACCAGGCGTTTAACACATCACTTATTCAAATGCTACATTATATCTGTGGCTCCCAAGGACTCATGTTTGTTTCATAATATGAACTGTATTTAGTCCATCTTTTATAGCTCTTAACTATGAGTTCCTATAAATTTTAGTAACATGTTCCATACTTGTAACATACAATAATGCAGAATAAGCATTCTTATTACAAAATGAAGAGAGGAAGAGTAGGAAAGAATGGGAACAAAGAAACCAGAAAGCAAATGTTAAATCCTATAAATTCATGTCCACCAATAGTGACATACATGTGATAATATGATATATATGTTTCAGTGGGCTTGAGCAGCCCCATCACCGTGGCCTGGCTTACTACAGTCCACATGACTTATCCCCTAGGCCAGCTCTGTGTTTTGCCTTTAACTTGCTGTGGCTTATGTTCTATGCTCTTTTGATGTCTCTAACTTTCTAAGCTCTGTATTGTATCTCTAGTAAAGAGCTTTATATATTGTCTCAGGCTCTGCCACAGAGTGTTTGGCTGTTAGGTCTTCCATTGAAATCTGGTGGAAATATCCATGACCTTTTAACTTTGGCATTCTTAATGCCTGCAAAACTGTCATGATATGATCTGCTACTAGTCACTGGGGACCTTAGAATTATGGTTTTTGTGTTCTTTGAATTCCTAAATGACCAAAGCTGGGGAAAGATTTTCATATGAGGTTCCAAGTTAGAGGGACATGATGATTTCAAAGCAGTCTTTCAACTGAGTTAAGTAAAATCTTTGTACCCTAAGTTTGCAGTAGGGTCTAGTTAATTCCTGAGATAACCCTAAAAGTGTCTTTCCTATTTTGATACAAAGTACTGGGCTTTAATAAAAACAAAATCATGGCCCTAATTGCATCAACAGCCATACTTTACTGTGTCATAATATGAATTTTATTTATTTATTTATTTGTTTGTTTGTTTGTTTTTTAGAGACAGGGTTTCTCTGTATGGCCCTGGCTGTCCTGGATGGAACTCACTCTGTAGACCAGGCTGGACTCGAACTCAGAAATCCACCTGCCTCTGCCTCCCAAGTGCTGGGATTAAAGGCCTGCGCCACCACTGCCCGCCCGGCATGAATTTATTTTTTTAGTACTGCATTTTTCCAGACCTTTCCTGTTCTTTTGTCTAAATTTATTACAATAAATTTGGCCAAACCAGCTAGTAGTATCCATGCTGAGCTGCCTTGGCATTTCCTCTGCCTTACTATTATTTTTAATTTTAGCCCCACTTAAAGTCTGGGAGCATGGTCAAAAATATGACAGTACTTTGCAACAGTATAACACGAGTGATGTCTGTGTTAAGTCCTAATAGAGTCCTTGCTTTCATATTCAGTGGCATAATTAGTCAGCCTCAGTCTTAGAGCATTTTCCACAAGAATTAAGTTCTGCCTATATAGCATTTAGGATTTATCTACTCCATCTCTCCAAACTTAACAAATTCATGGGCATGTGATGTGCCACATCTTTCCACAAACTAGTTCCTGAAGCTTGTAAATGGAAAGATGCAGCACATCACATGCCCATGAATTTGTTAAGACACTAGTGTCTGTACACTTTCTACTAATTTTCTCGGTTAGACTGTAGTGATAAATACTTGAGACATATAAAAGATTTATTTTGTCTCATGATGTCAGAGGTTGTAGTTGGTGTTACAAAACTCCGTTGCTTCTGGACTTATGTTTCTGTAACATCTAGTGAGGAAGGAACAGTGTGACTTACCTTGTGGCCGGTAAGTGTCACATGTGAGCACTGACCAGCCCACACAGCTGTTTTTCTTTCTCTTGCCCCTATAGAGTTTCCTCTTTTCTGTCCCACAGTTAGTTAGTTAGTTTCTTTCTCTCTCTCTCTCTCTCTCTCTCTCTCTCTCTCTCTCTCTCTCTCTTTGTTTTTGTTCTTGTTTTTGTTTTTGTTTTTTTTTGAGACTGGGTTTCTCTGTGTAAGAACAGCCCAGCTCTGGCTGTCCTGAAACTTACTTTCAAGGCCAGCCTGTAGTTGAACTCACAAAGATCTGCCTTCTTCTGCCTTCTGACTGTTGGGATTAAAGGCATGTATCATCACCACAGGGTCTGTCCCGTAATTTGACTATGGATTTGTAACATTGTAACATCCAGGAATTTTTAATTACGCAGCCAGCCAACCTTGTAGAATCTTTAGGCATGACTTTCTTTGTTCTCTGTAAACTTTACATTGATCAAATTTTTTTTTTTTTGGTTTGGTTTTTCGAGACAGGGTTTCTCTGTGTAGCCCTGGCTGTTCTGGAACTCACTCTGTAGACCAGGCTAGCCTCGAACTCTCGAACTCAGAAATCTGCCTGCCTCTGCCTCCCAAGTGCTGGGACTAAAGGCGTGTGCCACCACCGCCTGGCTTGTATTTTCTTTTTTAGAAGATTTATTTATTTTATGTATATGAGTACACCGTTGCTATCTTCAAACACACCAGAAGAGAGCATTCAGATCCCATTACAGATGGTGTGAGCCACCATGTGGTTGCTGGGAATTGAACTTAGGACCTCTGGAAGAGCAGACAGTGCTCTTACCCACTGAGCCATCTCTCCAGCCCCCTTAAATTATATTTTTCATTGAATTTTCCTTCCCTCCCTCCTTCCTTCCTTCCTTCCTTCCTTCCTTCCTTCCTTCCTTCCTTCCTTCCTTCTTTCTTCTCCCCCCCTTCATACTTTGTAAGTTCTTTGTAAGTACTATTAAACCTATATATTTTATTCTTTAGACAAGAATTTTTGCTGCTCCTGTTTGAGAGTTGTTATTAAGATTATTATGAATATATATAAAATAATATAATATTGAAAACTGGGCTACTGGGTTGTTTTTTTTTTTTAAGTTTTAGGCTGGTTTAATTTTACTTTTTATGCATATGATTATTTTGTCTACATGTATTTCTGTGTACTATGTGCCTGGTGTTCACAGAGGTCAGAAGAAGGCATCATGATCCCCTGGTAATTGATTTATGGATGATTGTGAGCCACCAAGTTGGTGCTGTGAACTGAATTAGGAACCTTGAGAGAGCAGCCAATTCTCTTAATCTTTAAACCATCTCTCTAGCCCCTGGAGTACTACTGATTTATTGTCTCTGGATCTTAAAGAGAAACACACCGCAAAATTGAAAGCACTAAGAAGTGTACTTTTTTTTTTCATTGCATACCACAATTTTTATTTGTATCATTGTTGATAAACAAAGGTATTTTTAAAATAAGACTGTACCTCTGATGATCATTTATTGTTGTGAAAGCATAGCTACTCTATGCTTTTTTGCCTATTTAAGAATCAAGTGAATTGAAGACATAAAAGCTCTTCAAATACGTGTATTTCAGTTTGTGATTTTTTTTTTTTTACTTCTTACAATGAGGTTTTTTTTTTTTTTTTTTTTGTTTTTCAAGACAGGGTTTCTCTGTGTAGCCCTGGCTGTCCTGGAACTCACTCTGTAGACCAGGCTGGTCTTGAACTCAGAAATCCGCCTGCCTCTGCCTCCCAAGTGCTGGGATTAAAGGCGTGCGCTACCACTGCCTGGCATATAATGAGCTTTTAATTAAGCATGGTTTTGTCTTCCAGAAACTAAAAGGATGATTGTGGCATATAAAGTTTCTCTTCATTCTGTAGTCTGTTGCATATGTGGCTTATAGCTTTAAAACCTTGAAATACATTTCATAAAAAAATTCAAGCTTTGAGTTTTTTAGCAGAATGATTTTTTAATCCCAATCCAGGGTGACCTATGTGCTTGTGTATAATTTTCACATATGTATATGTATGTCTATGTATAGGTATAGGTACACTGGTAAAGACTCAGGGCATATAAGCAGAAGAACCCTTACTATTTAGTTCTACTCTACTGGGGAGATTTTTTTTATTTGTTTGTCTGTCTGTTTATTTTTCGAGACAGGGTTTCTCTGTATAGCCCTGGCTGTCCTGGAACTCACTCTGTAGACCAGGCTGGAAAGCCACCTGTCTCTGCCTCCCAAGTGCTGGGATTAAAGGTGTGCACCACCACCGCCTGGTGGAGATTTTCTTTTTAAAAATCAAAATATTTTATAATTGTTGTTACTGTAATTGTTTTTAATTTTAATGAAATGACTAATTCAAGGCTAGAGAGATGGGTTTGTGGTTAAGAGTACTGGCTGTTCTTCCAGAGGATTCTGGTTTGATTGTCAGCTTGAACATGGTGGCCTACAACTGCCTGTAGGTTCAGTTTCAGGGAATTTAATGCTTTCTTTTGACTTTCGTGAGCACTAGACATTCAAATGACACACAACTGTACATGTAGGTAAAACACTCATACTCAAAAAATAAATAAACTACTAACTTGGTTTTAGAGTATTATCTATATGAAGTGTTAACATGTAAAAGTCCTATGTGACCATAACATAACAAATACACAATTTTATAGAGAAGCTTATTGCCATGTGCAGTGGTTTTGTTTCTTCTCTCAGTCAATTTAAGTGCCACAATGTATATATTATACTGAAAGAATCTTAGCTGTGAAATCTAAAAAATAAATTACTTTTAGGTCTTTGTCTGAAGCCATGTCAGTGGAGAAAATTGCTGCAATCAAAGCCAAAATTATGGCTAAGAAACGATCTACTATCAAGACTGATCTAGATGATGACATAACTGCCCTTAAACAGAGAAGTTTTGTGGATGCTGAGGTAGATGTGACAAGAGATATTGTCAGCAGAGAGAGAGTGTGGAGGACAAGAACAACTATTTTACAGAGCACAGGAAAGGTAATTAAAATATTTTACTCATTCTTTGGAGTGCTATAGGATTGTTTAAAATTAATTAGTAGATTTCAGGTTTTAAGTTTTATTTATTTGTTTGTACAGCTAAGGACTAATTCTTTGAAACTTTTGTTCCAAGCAAATGTATGCACTTAAAGTTTTGAAATATAAGAATTTAAATGGGGGTCTGGCAATCTGAGGCTCATTCAAACCATGTAAAGATGGAAGGAAATCATTCACTCAACAAAGTTTTTCTCTAATCTTGATACACATACTGTAGACCTGTGTGCACACACCATGTACATTAGTTTAAAAAAATTAAAAAAAATTGATACTAGATGCTCTAATATGTCAACATATCTCTTAAAGATGAATCAGTTCTGTGAACATATTTTTCTCTCTGTTGTGGGCTTTCCTCTGAAGTTTTCTTAGAAGTTGATTCTCCATTGATGCATAGTTGCTATAAATGGTGGCTTGATAGAGACATTTGAAGAAGTGTGTAAGATTACTCTGAAACTCACCCTAATTTTGGAAACACTTTGTTTAGAGACCCTCTGGGCTATTTTGGAGGTAGTGTTTTTTAGTGGTTTGGGCCTGCCTTTGCCTGCTAAGTACAGTGGTTTTGATTGTTGAATAATATTAGGATTTTAGCTTCTAACTTACTGTATCATCTTGCTAAGAATAAAATTACTAGAAAAGGAATGTAAGGGAAATAGTTATTTCTGTTCATTTCATACTTTCACTTGTCTTACATTTAAGACGCATTCTCCATGCGCTATAGAGATGACTCAGCTGGCGAAGGCCTTTGTTCTGTAAGTCTGGCAACCTGTGTTCAGTCTCCAGAGCCATGTAAAGATGAAAGGAAAAAACAAATTCCACAAAGTTGACCTCTGGGCCCCACACATGGTGTGACATATATGTCTCCACATACATACCATGCATGTGTGTACATACACGAGTAGAAATAATGTAAGTTTACTTTAGACAAAAAGGAACCGTTTTCCATAGCCAGTAAGATAGCACAGAAATAAAGGGGCTAGCTATGCAAACCTCATAACCTGCATTTGATTTCTGGAACCTGTGCAAAGATGAAAGGAGAAAACTGACTCCACAGTGTTTTTCTTTTAGTTCTATACTTACACTGTGGTGCGTGTCCTCGTACACATAATAAAAAATGACCATTTTTCAGAGCTTAAAATTGCAAAAAAATGTGAGGAGGTTATGAATAAACATTTCACGGTTCAGGTTTTTGTTATTTACAGTTAAATGATATTATTCTCATTTTCATTGTGTAATTGGCTAATACCTGATTAACACTGTGATTTGTTAGTTTCTTTGTTTTGTTTTTTGAGACAGGGTTGCACTGTGTAGTCCTGGCTGTCCTGGAACCTGCTATGTAGACTAGGCTGGCCTCCATCTCAGGAGAATCCACCTGCTTCTGTCTCTGCCTCTGCCTCTTGAGTGCTGGGATGAAAGGCATGTGTCATTACGACTGGCTTTTTTTTTTTTTTAATTCATTTTAACTTAGTCTTAAACTTACAGGTTTTTAAAATCTAAAATATTAAAAATTAAATTGTTGATAGGAGCTTTTTTTTGTCAACTCTAGGTGGCAGGATTGTACCATTTTAAGTGTTACAATTTAATGTTGGTATCTTATAAAAAACAAATCATCTAACTATTGTTTGGAAGCGAGGTTTGCTTTTATAAATATTAACATTTAAAAATAAAGTTAACATTTTGATTGCTTATCTCTAGGTATATGTAGTTTTCATCTGCCAAATTCTAAAAATATCTGTAGATAATTAAAAGGGGTATGGAATTTGGAGTATGGAATTTATGTGTGTGTGTGTGTACATGTGGAGGTCAGAAGACAGCTTGTGAGAGTCACTTCTTTGCTTTCCCCGTGTAGATTCCTGGGCTCAGGTTGTCAGGCTTGGCAGTGCTGGCCTAATGTAGACTTGAGACTCACCTTCATTATTGCCTAGTATCAGAATTTTATTTTCTGAATTTTAAGGAGCAAGAAAATTCAAGTTTTTATTCTTCTTATACAGTTAATATACCCTAGTTAAAGCAACCTGATTTTATAGTATTAAATTATATTAAATGTCTTACTCTGTTTTGTGCTGCTATAACAGAATATCACAGACAAACTTGTAAGCAAACAGAAATTTCTATCCCATGAAATTATGTCTTATTCTGTTTTGAGCTGCTATAACAGAGTATCACAGACTGAGTAATTTATAATGAATAGACATTTCTGTGGTTCACCATTCTAGAGGCTGGAAAGTCCAAGATCAAGGAACTGCATCTGATGAGGGCTTTGTTACTGCTTCAAAAATGGCGGAAGGTATCACATGGGTGAGAGAGAGGGAATAAAAAAGAGGGCTGAATTTATTATTTTATCAGAAAATGACTCTTAAAATCACTTAGCCATTCATTTAGCCTCCACTTAATCCATTTCTTAAAAATCCCACCTTTCAGTAATACTGGGTTGAGAATAAATTTTGCAACATAGAACACTTGGGAGATATTTTTAGACCAAAGTAATTTATTATTGAATCATTGGTATAAAGAGTTCTGTACAAAGGAAATAATCACATGTAATTCTTGCACACAAAACTTGCTGATGCTATTTGGATTGATTTTTCTAGAGTTTATGTCTCTCATTCAGCTTATCACTTTAAAAGTGATCTGATTTTCTTGTTTAAGCAGTAGGACTGAAATTTCATTTGCATTTGGCACTACGCTGATGTTTGCAGTAAAATGGTGCAGAAGCCATAGCTGCTAAAGTGGCTGATACTTGGCATGAGTCAAGGCAGTCTCACCCGACATTACTAGCAAATCATGGTGTTCTTTGTTCACCTGGTTTAACCTTAATTAAAGAGCGACCTTAGAATATACCTAGTGAAATTTAAATGGAATAGTCCTGTACACTAAAAAAAAAAAAAAAGCTGTGGTTGCTTTTATGAACAGCATTTGTACTGTGGCTTGGGTTATTAACTAAAGAAACTTTAAAAAAAGGAAACCATTGTATTTTATTTAATGTCTGTTTTTCACACTTAGAAATTTTACAGACATTCTCTTGAAAGAGTTTGTCAGGAAATGCAACTGACTAGTGATAAAATAGGAGCTTTCCTGAGAAAATTAAAATTTTGGAACGTTTAAATGTTGAATAATACAATGTCTTAGTTTGGAGTGTGTGCATAACTACATTACCCAGTGATGGATATTTTCCTGAGGATCAATGGATGAAAAAAATTATTTAAAGTACAGATAGACTGATAAACTTTAAAATAGTAATGCAGAATATTTATGGATGTGGTTTCTACCTTCAGTACATTTTAGGAAACCATTTATTTTGGTATGATAGCAAAAAGGAATATATTCAGCTATCTGAAAAGTTATCTTAATGCTTCTACCTTTACTGTCTGAGGCCAGATTTCTTCATATCTTTGACCAAACATGATAACACAGTAGATATATAGAAGTAAATATGAAAATGCAGCTATCATTTAGTAAGCCAGATATTACACACACTTATAAAATTTCAAGTTTTAGTCTTTCTACTTTTCAGGTACATTTTAGAAATAATCTTTATAAAACATATTATGTTTGTATAGAATCTTGCTTCTTTTTTTTTTTTTTAAAGGAATTCCTAATTGAAAAAATTGTCAGTTTTAATCTTTACTGTGATAAATTTTGACTTTAGCTTAAAGGCCTTTAGAGTCTTCAGTAGTTTCCAATATGGCAAAGTAGTTCTGAGATTTATATTTGATGCTATAAAGAAACAGGAACTAGTTAGTATCATAGTATATGGTAATTATACTAGTGGTATATAGTTAATATTTAAATTTCTTATTTTGTGTACATACTTTTTACATAATATTTAATATGCACATATCAGGCAGTGATTGATGCTTTGGTCCTTAGGCTCACAGGATGATACTGTAGTACAGGGTGTAATGAATGACATGCAGGATAAGGTAGGTATTTAGCAAGGGGAGGTAACTTATCCAGAGTAAAAAGGAAAAAGTGTATTTCAGAGTAGTACAGTACTTGGAGGCCATGAGGTTAATGCTAGGAATACCAAAGAAAAAAACAGGAACAAAAGTGAGAAATTACATAGTAAAAACTAGTAAGGTAGATGGATTGATAAAGTGTGACAAGGAGTCAAATTTGTTTCTTTTCTTTTTTTTTTTTTTTTTAAAGATTTATTTATTTATTATATATGAATACACTGTAGCTGTCTTCAGACACACCAGAAGAGGGCATCAGATCTCATTACAGATGGTTGTGAGCCACCATGTGGTTGCTGGGATTTGAACTCAGGACCTCTGGAAGAGCAGTCAGTGCTCTTAACCACTAAGCCATCTCTCCAGCCCTGTTTCTTTTCTTAAAAAGACTTATTTTTATTTTATGTGTATGAGTGTTTTGTTTTCATGTATGTTAGTATACTGTGCACATGCCTGGTGTCTATGATGGTCAGAAGAGGTTGTCACATTTCCTGGAACTGGCATTTTGGATGGTTTTAAGCTGCCATGTGGATGGTGGCAACTGAACCTGGGGTGGCAGGGAGAACAAAAAGTACTCGTAACTGAGCAGCAGTATCACCAGTCCTCACTCAGATTTCTTTCTTTAAAAATAATTCATTCTCTCCCTCTCCCTCTCCCTCTCCCTCTCCCTCTCCCTCTCCCTCTCTTTCTCTCTCTGCACCTACACACAAACACACACCACAGCACACACATGCATGTGCACAGTCTTACAATGGTACAAATGGGGAAGTCAAAGGATAATGTGGAGTTGATTTTCGTCTACTTTTACATAGGTTCTAATGATTGACCTCAGGGCTTACGTTACAAGTGCTTTACCTATTGAATTACCTTGCTGGCCCCAGAATGCTTCATTTCTAGAGAAGAAAATTGTATTATATTTGAAGTACATGAGAGCAGGAGCCATGTGTTTGTTGATTATCATTGGATTTTCGTGTCAGTTAAGGTAGTTTACAGTAGATACTCACATATTCCTTAATTCATTGGATGATTGGTAGGGGCGAGAGTCCCAAAGTATTCTTAGTCATTGGGGATACTGTTAGTCATTAGGTAAAAATTCAGGGGAGAACAGTGTATCGGGGGCTAAAGAAGGTTATTTCTTGAAGGAAGGAGGAATAATCACCTAGTCAGCAGTGCTAGATATTCATGGACAAGCTTATTTGTGATTACTTTCCACCTTTTCAGATTTCAAAAATGTGCAGTGGCTCTTACAGATATCTGTAACCTTTGAGCATTTTAGGAAGTCTGTGGCAATCTGAATATAACACAGGAATTTATTACACTTGGAGGATTTAGTAGCTCCCTTCGAAACAAATGTGTTACATTTAAATGCTTTTTCTTGGTTATATATTTGAGTAGATGCAGAATAATACAAATTGTATTTAGTTGTTCTAAGTATAATTTGTAATAACCACACTCAAAGTAGTTGGCTTTTATTTTTATATGTCATTGTATTACCTTGTTTTCTTTTGACTCAAATACGCAAGGGTAGGAGCTTTATAGAAGGTTAGGGCTGGGGATATAGACTAATGTAGAACACTTGCTTGACTATGTGAAGGTCTAGCATCAGGAGTGAGGAGGAAAGATACTTAGCTCAAGTTTTGGAAGGTTGGACAGCTCTACCTGTTGGGTTACAGCACAGAAAACTAAACTAAGTACTCAAGTCCAACATCCATCTTTCCTGATAGCAGTTACTAAATAACATAATTGTTCCTCATTGAGCCCCACTTTTTAAAGGCTCCTCTACCTCCACATTCCCATTCTTAGGAACAGCTATCTAACATAGGAATGTTTGGGAGACAGACCATTTCCAAATCATAGCAGTTATAGTACCTTATGAATTAGGAAAACTTAGTAGGAAGAAAGTTTCCATATAAATCGCTAAATGGATAAACCTTTGCACATGTATGCTGGGTTTAATTAGAATCTTTTCATGTTTTAGAATTTTTCAAAGAATATTTTTGCAATTCTTCAATCTGTAAAAGCCAGAGAAGAAGGGCGTGCCCCTGAACAACGACCCGCTCCAAACGCAGCCCCAGTGGTAAGAATCTGCTTATATTGTTGTTTTTAAAAAGTGCCAATTGTGTTTGTATTTTAGTATTGTAATGTTTACATTTTAAACATTTTATATCAGTCTGTTGTAAAGTTTTGTTATTTCAGTATACTTGAAACATGTAAAGACCCTCTCCATTTTTAAAAGTTATTTCAAGACTTGCGTGGTGGCGCACACCTTTAATCCCAGCACTTGGGAGGCAGAGGCAGGCGGATTTCTGAGTTCGAGGCCAGCCTGGTCTACATAGTGAGTTCCAGGACAGCCAGAACTACACAGAGAAACCCTGTCTCGAAAAAACAAACAAACAAAAAAAGTTATTTCAGCAGTAATTTGGGTTTCTTGAGAAATACCTTGGCGAGAGTCTGAAAAGAAGTTAGTTAGGAGAAGCCTTCAAAGTAATTATTTTAAGTTAACCATAGCTGGCCTACATGTTGGTTGAGAAAATTGTAAAAATTATTAAAAATATGTCATTGTGACCTTCCAGTTTGGACCTCTTGTTTGATATCTTTGTTGACCATTCATCTTGATATGTTTGATTTTCCTTGGTATCTGCTGTATGGTCCCTTGATATTATTGCAGGTTTAGCACCTCTGATGGTTGACTGGCTCACCATGTGAGGTGTCACATAGAACCCTTCAAACCCTAAATTCATGCATGACATGCAATATCCATGGAAATTTGAAATATCCTCAAGTTTGCTGTCCTTCGACCTCTTCTTAAGACTTAAGAAAGGCAAAAAGTACAATTCAAATTGATTCAATTTTATGTAGAATTTGGAAAATTTGAGAGTACTAAACATAGCCTTGAAAGTTATTAGTAATTTTATTCATGAGGTCATTCATAGTTAACGTTTAATGATATTGAATTATTGGTAATACTTAGATATATTTTTAGTTGGCTTACTACAATTTTTTTTTCTCTTTTTTTTTTTCTGAGATAGGGTTTCTCTGAGCCCTGGCTGTTCTAGAAGTCACTTTGTTCAGATTACCATTAAGGAGAGAGTATTATTTCACAAACTCATTTAAGCAATTAAAATGCATCTGCTTACCATATTATTCCTGCAGTTTTGATAGATGCATACTTGAGAGTTCTTTTATTCTTGGTGTAGGGATGGTCATTTTCATTTTTGGAGCAGCCCTGGTGGCTGTCCTAGACTCACTTTGTAGACCAAACTGGCCTCCTGGGAGCTGGGATTGAAGGTGTACGCCACCATGCCTGGAGGGATGGTCATTTCAGACAGCAAATATAATATTGAATATTGATTCCTAGTCATCAAATGCCAAGTAGTCTACTTACTATATTCTGTCTTCTGTGCCATATTGATAATTACATTTATTTTAAAAGTGTCCCTATCAGGTTTTAATTATGAGTGTTAAATAAGTAATACTTAAAACTATTAACTGGCAACTCCTTTTTTCTAGGATCCTACATTGCGTACAAAACAGCCTATTCCAGCTGCTTACAACAGATATGACCAAGAAAGATTCAAAGGCAAAGAAGGTAAGTTGCTTATCCTATATCTTCTTCTAGTCATGGTCATGCTGCACTTTAGTGGTAGTATAGTGTGATATTTAAGAATAAGGCTTGTCAGGGCTGGGGAGATGGCTTAGTGGTTAAGAGCACTCACTGCTCAACAATGTGTAATGGGATTAGGTACTCTCTTCTGGTGTGTCTCAAGTGTACTCATATTTAAAAAAAAAAAGAATAAGGCTTATCAATTAACTTCTGTAGTATAAATCTAGTTCAGTCATCTGTTTTTGTAGTGAAAGGTTTTTTTTTTTTGGTTGTTTTGCTTAAACCTAGTCAAATCTATTCATTTATGTGTTATCTATCGTTGACAGCTCTGATGTGTAGTTTTGACAGAGGTCATCCTGCAACACCTAAAAATAGTATTTAGATTTTACAGAACAAAATTGATTAGTCACTTGTTGGTATCTTTGATTCTGGATCCAGATGGTTTGTGTGTGTCTCAGTTAATTTTTGTGGATTTATTGTTATTTTGACTGTATTCTGTCTGTTACTGTGTATCTCTAATTAAATATTTATTAATAATACTATTAACCTATTTCACAGAATTACTTTGAGGATAAACCTTGTGGTAAAGATGAAGTTCCTAGTGTAATGTTTGATAATATAATAAAATACTCACAAATGTTTGCTATTATTGATGTTAATTTTGGATATAAAGAATTTTGGGCCGGGCGGTCGTGGCGCACGCCTTTAATCCCAGCACTTGAGAGGCAGAGGCAGGCGGATTTCTGAGTTCGAGGCCCCCCTGGTCTACAGAGTGAGTTCCAGAACAGCCAGGGCTACACAGAGAAACCCTGTCTCGAAAATTGGTTTCATAGAGTATATGTTCTAATCTTTTTATGAGAGATCATATAGCAAGTATTTTTGCAAACAATAGACCATATATATGCCTCTGTGTCATCAATAAGACTGTGCAGTTGTAGTGCAGAAACAAGAAGAATCTATGTGTATACTGGGAGAAGCTGGAGTTGGTCCTTACAGGATTAGATATGTTACGAGGATCTTTATGTAATTCATTCCTTCCAAAACACCAAAGTGAATAAAAGAATGGATCACTGTCTTTCTGTAGCGCTCATTCATCTTTATCTGGTAAAGGAAGTCAGCACACACAATTTACTGCATCAAAACAATACATCCTTTTAAAAAAGTTGCCCAGAGACTTCAGATAAACAGAAAAAAATAGCTAATGTTCAATTGTTTCTATTTCATATCTTCCACAGGGCAGTCAAGATGAGTGAAGATCTCAAGAGAGACTAGTGAAAGCCTCGCCTCATTAATATTTTGTTAATAAAGAAATGGCTCAATTATATTAGATACACTGTATTTCGAGTATTTAGATACTCGAAAAACCAAAAAAAAAAAAATTTAGGATGGAAAATGTCATGTATTAAATATGAATGTGTACAGTCATAGTTATGCTCCAATTTGCAACAAAGCATGAGAACTTATTTTGGGACAGCCTGATTGACAGTGTATCTAATATAATTGAGCCATTTCTTTATTAACAAAATATTAATGAGGCGAGGCTTTCACTAGTCTCTCTTGAGATCTTCACTCATCTTGACTGCCCTGTGGAAGATATGAAATAGAAACAATTGAACATTAGCTATTTTTTTCTGTTTATCTGAAGTCTCTGGGCAACTTTTTTAAAAGGATGTATTGTTTTGATGCAGTAAATTGTGTGTGCTGACTTCCTTTACCAGATAAAGATGAATGAGCGCTACAGAAAGACAGTGATCCATTCTTTTATTCACTTTGGTGTTTTGGAAGGAATGAATTACATAAAGATCCTCATAACATATCTAATCCTGTAAGGACCAACTCCAGCTTCTCCCAGTATACACATAGATTCTTCTTGTTTCTGCACTACAACTGCACAGTCTTATTGATGACACAGAGGCATATATATGGTCTATTGTTTGCAAAAATACTTGCTATATGATCTCTCATAAAAAGATTAGAACATATACTCTATGAAACCAATTTTCGAGACAGGGTTTCTCTGTGTAGCCCTGGCTGTCCTGGAACTCACTCTGTAGACCAGGCTGGCCTCGAACTCAGAAATCCGCCTGCCTCTGCCTCCCAAGTGCTGGAATTAAAGGTGTGTGCCACCACTGCCCAGTGAAACCAATTTTTCAATTAAATTCTTTCACTGATAGTCACATAACCTTGATGAAATTTAAGCAGTGCCTGTTACGTTTCAGTAACACATGATGTATTTATATCATTCTTTTACTGGTAAAATAGTGTCAAACACCCAAATTGACTGGCGTTAGTTGATTGACCATAACAAGAGCCAAAACAGGAATGAAGAATACATTGCTCTGTATGTATAGAGTAAAACATTTACTTTTAGAAGAGAAAGAGCATGTTGCACTTGTGTTCCTGCAAAACTCATCACTGTTAGAGCAGGAGTTTCTACTCAATGTAAACAATATATCCGATAGATTAAACTTTGGAACAATTTTTTTCTAATTTAGGAACTTGCTATTTTACATGCGTGTAAAGGTACAACCATGTAGTAGCCAGTAGGAAAAAATAAAGGCATTGTAAGTTTTTTATTTAGTATTTAAAATTTTTATTTTATTTCATTTTTACGTATATGGATGTTTTGCGTATGTGTATTTGTGCACCACATATATGCCTGATGTTCATGGAGCCTGAAGAGAGGATCAGATCCCTGGAAACTGAAGTTAAAGCCAGTAGTTGTGGGCTGACATGGGGGCTGGGAATTTTACCTGTTTTTTTTTTTTTTGTGTGTGTGTGTTGTGTGTGTGTGTGTTTCCCAAGCATAGCTACTGCATATACTGCTGAGCATTCTTTCTAGTTCTTCGGTGTGATTTTTTTAAAACAAAATTTGAAAGTTAATCTGAACCATATTCTATGTAATAAATGCTTTGTCATTTATTGAATATGTTTTTGCAAGTGTCTTAAAGTTTTTAATCTTTAGGAATATTTGATAAAATGTATAGTATATTCATGGCTTTGTTATGTTAAGTGTAATATAAATTGTGATCGAAAGTTTAATCTGGGTTGAAATACATAAATCATAGTAGACTCTTTGTCTTTGTAGAAACGGAAGGCTTTAAGATTGATACTATGGGCACCTACCATGGCATGACACTGAAATCTGTAACGGTAAGTTATTATGACTGCAGACGTTGTTTGTTCCAGGTGTTTTATGTGAGTAGCAGATGGTAAATTTTTATTCTCTAGCATTTTTTTGTTGAAACATTTATTTTTAATGACCATTGTAGTGCTAATAGATCTGTGTGATATTATTTCATTCATTAGTGTTCTGCCTTTTTTCTCCTTTCTAGTCTAAGCAGAATTTATATGTATTTTGAGTAATTTACAACTATGATTATGCTGTGTCATTGCGATGTTTAAAGTCACTGAAGAGTTGAACATTATACTGGCAATTTTTTAAAATCTAGTATCCTATGTTATTTAAAATGTAATTCTCTTTGGAAAAATCAGAATGGGATTAGATGTTTAGACTGCTCAGTGACATGGGATCAGTCTCCAGATCAGCTAAAGAAGTAAATAGAGTATAGTACTGGATGGAGTGCTTATAAAAACTCTCGATGGAACCAAATGTTTATATATTCATGAATACAGTAAGTCTTTGACTCTTAGCTAGCTCATTTGTTTCTTTTCTTTCGCTTCTTTTTTTCTTTTCTTTTTTTTTTAATTTTTTTTTTTTTTTGAACATGAAATGCTTTTTTATAGCATGTTTTACAAGGGGAGGGGGTAAGAGGGGCCAGGTGGTGGAAAAGTACAGAATCTTCTTGGCCTGTGCCTTGAAACATGTCATGGTCTATACGGTACACTGCCTTGAATTATGATCTACCTGCTATTCTTCAGAAGATATGGTACACTGCTTGAGTTATGGTCTCCCTGCTATTCTTCAGAAGATATGGTAAACTGCTTTGATTCTATCTGCAGTTGCCAAGCAGGATCTTGCAGTTGCCAAGCTTCAGGGGACATTGTGCAGGTTGGGAGAGGTAGGGGGTGAGGGTAAGGGCGAGGGTCCTGGCTTCTGGCATCTCCCCCTTCTCTGTTTAGTTAGAGAAGGCGTCTTATGATCAATCCCAACTATGTGAGTTTTGAATTTGGATGTCTAATTATGGGGGGTCTTTGACAAGTTCACAACCCCAAAACATTGATGTGAGACGAGTCACATCGATGGTCGAAGGCTTTAGGCTGTCGACGATGGGCAATGTCAAGGGACCCCGAGGTGGGTGAAAGGAGGGTGAGAGCCCTGTCTTAGGCCATGTAGGCTGCACCCACTCCCAGCACCACGCACTCCTTTTCGGCTGCATTGGGTGGGCCCCTGCGCTTCTTTTTTTCTTCCCAGCCCTTTCTCTTTTCCTCTCCTTTCTTGCTCCTATGTCCTACTTGCCCCCACAATGTCTTTATCACTCATTCCATATTGTTTTTAGCTTGGACTTAAAACACTTGGGCTCCTACTTCCTTTCTCAACTTTCTGAGTAGCTGGAACAATAGGCTCTCTTTAAATTTTTCATTTTTAGCTATTCAGAAATAGCTTGGCCAACTTATGCTTAATACTTCTAATTATTATGTAGTAAATGATAGTTTTGATGATATAAGTCTGGTATATTTATCATTTTGCATTTTTATATTCTGATGCATACCCCTTATACTTTAAAAATCTATGCGTATGTATTAAGTATGTATACTTCAGAACTAAGAGTGCTACTTATTTTTGTCCTTGGTTGTGAATTATCAGAGACTTATAGACCTCACATGGCAGGAAATAATAGTTAAGATTTAATCTTTTTACTTAGAATTTGCCGTAAAAATCTATGGAAAAGTTTGATTTTTTTTTTAAACTTCAAATTGGGATTCTATAAAATACTAGTATTTTGCTAATATACTTGTTTTAAAATACCAGATTTGTTTTCATATTGTACTATTGAAATTGTGTATAGGGTAACAAATTCATTCAACAATTTGAGTACTTGTGTCAGGTGTTTAATTCTGAATACTACAGGTGAAACTGCTTCAGAAAGCCTACTCTCTGAGGTCAGAGTTGAGTAAGTCCTGCCAGGAGAGCATTCCCTGAAGGAGCAACAGGGTTAAAACTGACTTAGTAGACAATAAGGCCAATGTTTGCAGATTAGGGAGAAAGAACGAAATTAGTAAAAAGTTTAATATAGGCATCTTATGCCTTTTGGTCTTTTGTGATTTCAGAATGTAATTAATAGTAGTTAGGTCTAACGTAAATTCTTTATTCGTTTGTTTATATTTTTACAAAGTGGTCTCACTATGTGGTTTTGACTGGTCTGGAACTCACTGTGTAGACCAGACTGGCCTTGAACTCGGAGGTCCACTGCCTCCCAAGTGCTGGTACTAAAGGCAATTACCATTGTACCTGGCTTGAGTGAAACTCTTATGTGATTCAGTTAGTTGCTTTTGTGGAGACAGAAATTGTCTATTGCCGATTCCTAACGTGTAACCAATAGTAGTTAAGTTCTTTTTCTTTTTCTTACTCTTCCCTTCCCTTCCCCTCCCCTCCCCTCCCCTCTTCTGTTTCATAGCTCTCAGTGCCATGGTATTTGTTTATTATAAGAGCATCTAAATTTAAAGGGTGAATTTAAATAAATTTATGCTATGAGTTTGAAAAATAATTTATACATATACACACACAAAGACTAATCAAAAAGGGATTGCTTTGGAATGTAACAAAAAGTCAAAAGGTGGTCAAATGAATAGTTTTATTACTTTAGTAAATATTTTGAATCTGCTACTTTTTGTTGTTGATGATGTTATTTTTGAGACAGGATTTCTCTGTGTTGGTTCTTTCAAGACAAGGTCTCAATATGTAGCCCTCTCTGTCCTGGAACTTGCTTTGTAGACCAGGCTAGCCTTGAACTCACAGAGACCTGCCTGCCTCTGCCTCCCAAATTCTGGGCTTAAAGGTGTTCGCCGCCATACCTGGTTTTGAATCTTCTACTTTTATGTGCTGATAATTTACTATAAAGAAAATACATAGACAAGTAATGTTTAGATCAGTGTTTAGTTTTAGTTATTTCTCAAACGTATTCTGATTTAGTATTTTTCCTTTTTTTCTATTTTCAAATTATCATTTGTGAGCTGTAACAACTTCTTACCTTATTCCATTCAGAAAATTTCTTTTATACTATCAAGACAGACAAATGTATATTAATGTAAAAGGAGTCATTGCCCACATATGACTCCCTTTCTGTTATGTGTATGATTCATATTTGCTAATTTTTTTTAAAGTTTGATATGCATAGTTTATGTAATTCCTGAGATTAGAATTGACCTACATTAGGATTGATGTTTGTAACTTTGAACTTCAGTATCAGAGTTCTCTTGACATACAACTAAATTAGTATATTAATCATTTTTATACAGTATCTGTTTTCTGTGTTAGACAGGCTTGTGTTTATGTGACAGTCATAGCTCTAAGTTTTTACAACATTTTATATAAATAAAAGTTATGGCAAATGTTCTGATAATAAACTATAAGGTATTGAGGAACTAGAGAGATGATTCAGTGGTTAAGAACACTTCCTGAGAACCCCAGTTTGGTTCCTAACACCCAGGTTTGGCAATTCACACCAGCTTGCACCTACTATTTCCGGAGATCCAAGGCCTCTGTGTGCACATACACTCAGGTGCACATGGGCACACACCTTTAAGGTATAAATTTGTGTGGTAAATTCTGGTTAACGTTTTCTTATCCTGAGGTGGTAAATCTCATTTGTTTTTAATTGTATTTTGATAATTGCTTTTTTAAGACAGGATTTCACTATGTATCTAGCCTTGGCTGGTTAGAATGTGCTATATGGACCAAGATAGCCTCAAAATCTTAAATTATTCACCCGTGTCTGCCTCTTGACTAATATTAAAGGCATAAGCCACTACTCTCTAAAGGAAACTCACTTTGTAGATCACACTAGCCGTGTATTTCTTGGTCAGGGATCTCCTTCTGTCTCAGTTACCTACATAGTTGGTGTTCAGGTACGTGTTGCTTCACCTAGTAGCTTTCTGGTTAACCTTTGACTTAGATATATCAAGATATACTTTTGGTTTGACATTAATGGATCCAGAAGCCCAAGATACATAAATGTCCTCAGAGTTTTTAGGTGGGACTTTTCTCCCACATAGGTTCCTGGAATTATTCAATGCTTTAAGAAATATTAGATCAAATCGTTTTTTGTGGTAGAGAAATGTGAATTTTTTTCCATTAATTATTTAGTTTACATCCCAGTCTTTGTCTCCCACTTCTCCCGTTCCCTACCTCACACAGTCCATTACCCATCTTCCCTCCTGTTCTCCTCTTAGGTGGTGCCCACCCACCCTGTCACATCACAGTCTCTGCAGAGCTAGATGCATCCTCTCCTTCTGAGGCCCGATGAGGTAGCCCAGTTAGGGGAACAGAATCCACAGACAGACAACAGTTTTAGGGACAGCTCTTGCTTCAGTTGTTGGAGGACTTGCCTATGTGCGGGGCTGGGGGAGATTTTGTCCAGCCTATGTATGCTCTTTGGTTGGTGGTTCAGTCTCTGAGCGCCCCTAAAGGTCCAGGTTAGCTGACTCTGTTGGTCTTCTTGTGGAGTTCCTATCCTTTCTGGGGCCCTGGATCCTTCCTTGAACTCTTCCATGAGACTCCTTGAGCTCTGTCCAGTGTTTGACTGTGGGCCTCTGCCTTTGTTTCTGTTGGCTACTGGGTAGAGCCTCTCAAAAGACAGTTATGCTAGGCTCTTGTCTACAAGCATAACAGAGAATCATTGATGACTTCAGGAATTGGCGCTTGCCCTTGGGATGGGTCTCAAGTTGGGCCTGTTTTGGTTGACTATTCCTGCAGTCTCTGCTCCGTTTTTGAACCTTCATTTCCTGTAGATAGGACACATTTTGGATTGAAAGTTTTGCGAGTGGGTTGGTGTCCTTATGCCTCCAGTGAGTGTTTCTGCCTAATGTGACTGATTCAGATTACATTTCTCTACTGCTAGAATGTCAAAGTCACCCCATAGATGTACTTAGTCATCAAGGAAATGCAAATCAAAACGACCCCGAGATTCCATCTTACACCCATCAGAATGTTTTAAGATAAAAACTCAAGCTGCCGGGCAGTGGTGGCTCAT